CTTTAACAAATTAAATTTATTTTCTCACAGGTTAGCAGTTTAGAGACATGGGTTCTGTTAGTCTTTCTCTGTAGATTCTGGGCAAGGTCCCTGTCTCACCTGTTTCCTAGTCCTTGGAGATTTCCATGTGACTTGACATCAGTCTTCCTCTATCTATGCTCTGCTCCCTTGTATAATCTCCATGACACCTCAAAAGAGATTGACTCAAGATATACACTACACTAACCCTGCTTCACTGACATAGCAGAGTGCTCATTCCCAAACAAGACTGCAACCATGGGCACAGAGATTTGGATTTACAAGACTCCTGGTGTGCTGCTGTAGGATGATCTCTAGACTGTTAACTGCAAGGATGGCAGTTCAACTCCACCAGCTGCTCCTCAGAAACCCTATACAGGATTGCTATGAGAAAGGACCAATTTGACAACACACAACAACAACAACTTAGGGGGGAACACAATTCAATTCATAACAGATAAGATTCAGATGACTTCTCATATTGGAAAACAAAAAAAAATATATTGAAGGAGACACAAAGCAGGGCAGTTGATGAAACAAAAAGTCAAAAAAACAGGATAAGCTAGAGTCATATAAAAAGTCAGTCTGTAAGGCTGAATAAAAACTACCTAATTTGACATAGAAATCTTGACATTGTCATGAGAAACAAGTACAAATTTAAAACAAAGGCAAGAAGTAAGAGATAAATCCAAGACATAGAGCAATGAAAACAAAAGAGAGAGAATAAAAGAAATTATGTTTCACTGTATTTGTATAAATGCAAAGAAATGGTGAAGGTTGTGTGTTAGTTGAAGGAGGGGAAAAGAACGTAGGTAGGGAGTTAAAGGTGACCGCAAGACTTCACCATGCTCTATACAGTAATTAATTTCATTAAGAAGTCTCATAAACTGATTTGATTTACATTTTTTATTGGATCCCACTTAGGTCTAGATCCAACTAGTTCATAAGCAAAAGAAAGAGATCTCAGATCTACTGCTGTTGATGAAAGTGTAAAAATAAGCAATGTGGAAACATGCCCTTATCTGGTAGTGAAAGAAAAGAATAACAATTTGTAGTTCTCCAATACTATGACATCACGGGCTTAAAAACTAAAAAAAGAGTAACTAGTGAAAAGAATCTGACCTAACACTTCAGCCAAATAATTTAAAATTTTTATACCCTATTATAAAACTTATTTTACGTACTGCCACAATTTTGAGTTAAGGCTCTGGTTTAGTTTTGTTTTCATATGAAACCCAGTTCTAAAAATAGTCAAGTCTAAAAATAAGCCAAAAACCACAGATTAAGTGCAGCCTTATACATGTACAAATAATAGGGAAGTCTCTATAACAGATGTTGGATCACTTATTCCCAGTGAATTTTCTATGTTGAGTTAAACCCCTGAAACTTTCTCGTTAGTACAGACTAGGAGGCAGTGGATTGTGACTCTGTAGTATAAGCACTGAACTGCTAACCACAAAATTGGTGGTTCAAACCCACTAGCTGCTCCTAGGAAATCCTACATAGGGCATCTCTGAGTCAGAAGTGATTCAACAGCATTTAATAAAAACAATATGATTATAAATAGGTGTCATCATGCCTCAATAGTTAAAGCTCTTGGCTATTAACTAAAACGATGGTGATTTGAGCCCACAGGCCACACACACCATAGGAGAAAGATGCAGCAGTCTGTGTCCAAAAGGATTTACAACCTTGAGAAAGTGCCCTTCAATTCCTACTTTGCTGAGTGCTTTTATCACGAATGGATGTTGGATTTTGTCAAATGCCTTTTCTGCACCAATCATTACGATCATGTAGTTCTTTTCTGTTTTCTTATTTAAATGGTAGATTACACTGATTGTTTTTCTAATGTTGAACCATTCTTGCATCCCTGATATGAATCCCACTTGGTCATGATGTATTATTTTCTGATGTGTTGTTGAGTTTTGTTGGTTAGGATTTTGTTGAGAATTTTTGCATCTCCGTTCAAGAGGGATACTGGTCTATAACTTTCTTTCTTAGTGACATCCTTCCCTGGTTTGGACATGAGGGTTATGCTAAGATTTACAATATTGGAAAGCATATGTGCAGTCAAGTCTGTACTGTATGGTTACTACACATCAGAAGAGACTTGACAGGTAGGGAGAATGGGTATATTATTATGAAACCAAACTCATTATTTGATTCTATTACAGAATGTTACAACCACTATGGAAAACCATATAGTGTTTCCTTGAAAAGCTAGAAATAGAAAGACATGCAATCCAGCAATGCAACTCCTAGGCATATATATACTAGAAACATAAGCGTTGTGACATGAATAGACATAGGCACGCACACACACATTATTCACAACAACAAAAAAGATAGAGACAGCCTAAGTGTCCATCAGCAGATGGTTGGATAAGCAAACGTTGACAAATGCACACAATGGAATCCTATGCAACGATAAAGAATACTGGTGAATCTGCAAACCCCTTACAACATAGATGAATCTGCAGGACATTGTGCTGAGTGAAATAAGTCAGTCACAAATGGACAAATACTGTATGAGACCACTATTATAGAAAGTCAAGAATTGCTTTGCACACAGAAAAAAATCATTCTTTCTTTAATGGCTACCAAGGATGGGAGAGAAAGGGAGAAAATCACTAACTAGACAGTACACAAGTGTCAACTATAGTGACGGGAAAGGCAAAACACAATAGAGAAACCAGCATACTGTGACCCAGTCTGATGAGTAACATCTGAGACTTTCAAAGCTGCGCACAGCCATCTAAAAAGCAACTCTAGGTCTCTTCCCGCTGGGAACAAAGAAGATTGAAGAAAATGGAAGGCACAAGGAAGCAATTACCCAAAGGACTAATGGCCCACACGAACCACAGCCTCCTCTAACCTGAGACCAGAAAAAGATAAGCTCATCTGTGTCTACTGACCGCTAAGACCGGTAGCATAATCGAAGTTACAGGTTAATACAAGTAAAAGATGCAAGTTAAAATTTAAATTAAAAAATAAATAAATAAGAGAGCAGACTTCCCGGTCTGAAAGAGACTGCGGAAAACCCCAAGATCATTGTCCTAAAACAACCTTCTACCTTGAAACTAAAGACAGTACCGGAGTGTCTTCAGTCAATTAATAGCTGGGTTGAAAAAATAAACAATGACACCCAGGAAGAATGTGCTCCTTAGAACAATCAACTACAGGAGACCAAAAGGGCAATATTTGCCCCCAAACCAAAGATGACCAGGTAGGAAGGGGCAGGGAAAACAGATGAAGCGAAATGGGGAACCCAAGAAGGAAAGGGAGAGCAGCATCCTGTTACATTGCGGGGATTGCACCCAACGCCATGGAACAGTGTAATTTATTCATTAGAAAACTAATTTGCTCTGAAAATTTTCACCAAAGGCATACTAAAACATTCAAAATAAAATAAGAGCAATATGGAAAATGAAAAGGAGTTTTCAGGATATCTGCGTAGTTTGCTTATCTGTGCATCCGTTTCCCAGTCCTTGCGGGACATCTGCAAGGCAGACAGAGGATAGGAAAAATATTCTTATGGGCACTGATGTGTCTTTTACTTATTATCCAAGTGTTATGGCTAAATGACTTAATTCTGTGGCAGAAACTGTTGTTATGGTTAAGTGCCATCGATTCTGGCCCACAGTGATCCTGTATAAGGTTTCTGAGGAGTGGCTGTTGAGCTTGAACCACCAACCTTGCGGTTCAAATCAGCTTTGCAGTCCAGAGCATTAACCCACAGTGCCATACCAGGACTCCATGGCAGAACTAGAAAATATTCAATTCATAATTAGAAATATATCAGGAAATAGAAGGGTAGCAACTTTTTCCCTGTGCTGATCCATCTATCAATAAGCTGAACAAGAAAGTAAAAAGCATTGCAATGAAATATTCTTTTTGTGAACACACAACCATAGTACAAAAACATGAGAAAATCTGTTCTAAGCCTCTTTACCTATTTCAGATATTAGGATAACATTCTCCAGGTAGGATATTTTGAGTGGTTTTCCAAGAGACCTGAGAGATCTGAACTGAATAATTCACACATTTTCTTGCTTAGTTCCTCTTTTAATTCATAGCAGGATGAAATGAACATAAATTCCATACTTGAAGATTATGATCTTAGGCTAAGTTACCAAACTAGTTTAAAAATCACCATAAACTGACTACAGAAACCTGATACAGAAATATTTCTGCATGAAAAAAGCTGATGAGGCATAAATTGTCTCCAGCTTTCGTTAGAATCAGAGTTTATTTTTTTGTGAAGAAAGTATACACATATACAATTTCATTAATAAAACTACCATAAATTGAGGTGAGTTAAAGAAAAAAGAAACATTACACGTGAAAGGTCTTCTCCATCTGATTTCAAAGCAATGACACTGGGGAGAGAAATTGTGTTTGTATTTATCTTTGAGTTTGTATTTTCCATTGTTTGGTGGGAAAGCATTTTCATTAGAAACTAGAAGGTCAGTGGTGAAGACATTAATGAGATGCTAGACTTTCCACTCTCAGACCAATTCAAACATGAGCTGTGGAAGGTACGGATCAATGAACTCGCATATTGAGGCAGTCCTCTACCTTCTGATCTCTGACAAAGACACCAACAGGAGGGATTGTGTAAGGAGGCAGAGTATTCTTTATGACAGCCTCAATAAAGTTAGTTAGAGGATGCCTATTGTGATAGTTAAGGTTTACTTGGCTAGGCCATGATTTTCAACTGTGCTTGAGTATTTTCTTATCCTGTATTATAATCAATGAACTTCCCTAATAACCTCCCTAAAGGTGAGTATGGTGTCTGAGTCCTTTATAGTCATTAACAGATTATCAAACCCAATCGACAAATAGAAAGGGTTATGGGAGGGATGGTTGATATATTATTTTTACAATAAACAAGTCATAATTTAAAAGTAAGGACACACAAAAATTCTACTGATGGTACAAATGCAAGATTATCATAGAAGTGCTAAAAATAAAAATCATACCTGATAGAGCATGATGGGTTCTATGTTGTATCCTAAGATATCGGCAAAGTACTTGGCAATGACTGTTTTTCCACAACCCTACAAATGCAAACACAATCATTCAAGGGAATATGTCAAAGCAACCAAAAGGAAGTAAACAGAAGAGATATAACCATTCTTACTTTCCCTCCAATTAAGCATATGTCCTTCACCATGTGAGACTGCATCATTTCAGCCAATAGTTGCTTATGGCTTAATGTTTGTATGAAATGGTCTGAGGCACAAGGTTGACTTATAGGCTTGGTCCCAGAGGGCACCTAAAATTAAGTAGAGATAAATATTAACAACCTAAAAGACAATTATACAAATGGACCTCATCAGATGGAATACACAAAAATCAAATAGACTACATCTGTGGAAAGAAACAGTAGAAAAACTCCATGTCATCAGCCAAAACAAGGCCAGCAGAACAGATCATAACAGATCAAATGGTCATATGCAAGTTCAGGCTGAAGAAAATTAAAGCAAGTCCACAAGAGCCAAAATATGACCTTTAACATATCCCACCTAGATTTAGAGATCACCTCAGTAACAGATTTGATGCATTACACATTAATGACTGAAGACCAGGAGAGTTGTGGGATGACATCAAAAACATCATACAGAAAGAGAGCAAAAGGTCATCAAGAAGACAAGAAAGAAGAAAAAGACCAAAATGGATACAAGTGACTCTAAAACTTGCTTTCCAACACTGTTGTTGTTGTTAAGTGCCGTCGAGTCGGTGCCGACCCATAGTGACCTTGTACAGGGTTTCCGAGGCTGTAAATCTTTATGGGAGCAGAACGCCTCATCTTTCTCCTGCAGAGCAGCTGGTAGTTTCGAACTGCCGACCTTAAAGCTCACAGCCTGATTCATAACCACTACGCTACATAAAGAAGCTAAATCAAAAAGAAGTAAGGAAGTTAAAGAGCTGAACACCAATTTCAAAGCTCAGCTGACGAAAACAAAGTCAAATATTATAAAGACCTGGAGTTAGAAAACCAAAAGGGAAGGACACAGTCAGCGTTTCTCAAGCTAAAACAAAAATTGAAGAACGTGTTCAAGCCTCAACTTGCAATACTGAAGAATTCTATGGGCAAAATATTGAATGATGTAGAAAGCATCAAAAGAAGATAGAAGGAATACACAGAGTCACGGTACCAAAAAAGAAATGGTAGATGTTCAATCATTTCAGAAGGTAGCATATGATCAAGAATCACTGGAACTGAAGGAAGAAGTCCAGGGTGCACTGAAGGCACTAGCAAAGATCAAGGCTCTAAAAATTGATAGAGTACATTTTGAAATCTTCAAACAAATTGATACAGCATTGGAAGCACTCACTCATCTATGCCAAGAAATTTGGAAGACAGCTACCTGGCCAACAGTTTGGAAGAGATTCATATTTGTGCCCATCTCAAAGAGAAGTGACTCAACAGAATGCAGAAGTCATCAGATAATATTATACTAATATCACATTTTGGTACCTTTAATTTACTTGATATAGTTTTTCTATCCAGTCTTCTTCACTCCCACCAAGTGATTGGGTGGGACCATGCAAATAATGCATACTAGAATCTAAGGCTGGGATTGCTTAGTGTTGCCCTCCAGCTAGAAGCTATCTCAGAAGTAGGAATGAAAGATCCCAAGTCCATCAAGAAGGTAAAAGGAGTGTGAGATCCCTACCTAGAAAAACAGAGGTGACAGCAGAGGTGATGGTAGAGGTGGTTGCATGGAGAGACAGAGCAGCTGTAGGCATTAGGCTCATGGACTGGGGTAGAGACCAAGGGGACACATGGCTAAAAAGTAGAAGATAAGAGCAAGATGTGCCTACAGTATGGCAGACAAGAGGTATTCCTGACGGGAGAACTGCTGCATCCTGAGTTTTTCTGATCCTGAACTGTACCTTTGACTTCCCTAATAAACCCCATACTTGTGAGTATTGTTGAGTTCTCTGTGGCCATTGCAGTGGATTCTCAAACCCAGATGTGAAGCAGAGAGTATTGTGGGAGGGAAACACTTGCAAGTATAATTTTGCTAAAGGCTATTCAAAAACAGCTGCGGCAGTACATTGACACGCAACTGCGAGAGGTTCAAGCCACATTCAAACAAGGACATGGAATGAGGGATATCGTTGCTAATGTCAAACAGATCTTGGCTGAAAGCAGCGAATACCAAAAAGATGTTTACCTGTGCTTCATTGACTGTACAAAAGTTTTTGACTGTGTGGTTCATGGCAAGCTATGGACAACATTGTGGAAATGAGTATTCCAGAATGCATAATTGTGCTCATGAGAAACCTGTACATAGACTAAGAGGCAGTCATTTGAACAGGACAATGGGACACTGAAGGGTTTTAAATCAGGAAAGATTTGCGCCAGGGTTGCATTTTTTCACCATATTATTCAATCTGTATGCTGAGCAAATCATCCAGAAACTGGATTAGATGAAGAAGAATATAGCATAAGAATTGGAGAAAGACTCATTAACAATCTGCAATAAAAATATGGTACAACCTTGCTTGCTGAAAGCGAAGAGAACTTAAACTATTTACTGATGAAGATCAAAGACCACACCCTTCAGTATGGGTTGCACATCAATGTAAAGAAAACAAAAATTGTCACCTCTGGACCAATAAACAATACCTTGATAAATGGTGAGACAATTGAAGTTGTCAAGGACTTCATTTTGCTTTGATACACCATCAACACTCACGGAAGCAGCAGTCAAGAAATCAAAAGATGTGTTGCATTAGGCATGTACAAGCACTCTTCAGTTTGAGGACTGAAGTGAACGTGACCCAAGCCATCATCTTTTCAATAGCCTCATATGCATGTGATAGTTGGAAAGTGAATAAGGAAGACTATAGCGTAGTGGTTACGAATCGGGCTTCAAACCTCAAGGTCAGGAGTTTGAAACTATCAGCTGTTTCATAGGAGAAAGATGAAGCTTTCTGCTCCCACAAAGATTTGCAACCTCGGAAACCCTGTACAGGGTCAATATGAGTCAGAACTGACTCAACGGCACATAACAACAACAACAACATAGTATCAATGCATTAGAGTTATGGTGTTGGGGAAAAGTATTAAAAGGATGGCCAGAAGAACAAATAAATCTGTGTTGGAAGAAGAACAGCCAGAATGCTATTAGAAGCCAGAATGGTAAGACTTCGTCTCTCAGACTTCAGACATATTATCAGGAGAACGCCATCAAGATTGGTAAAGTGGAAGGTCAGCAAAAAAAGAGGAAGACCTTCCAACAAGATGGACTGGCACAGTGACAGCAGCAATGGGCGCAAGAGTAACAATGATTATGAGGTTGGCACAGGACTGGGCAATGTTTTATTTTGCTATGAGTCAGTACCGACTGGATGGCACCTAACCACCACCACCACAACAAATATGCATGTTTTTCTCAAAATATTAGTAATTTGACACTTAACAATCATTCAGACCCATACACTGCCATAGATTCTATTCTGATTCATAGCAACGTAAAACTGCTCTATAGGATTTCCAAGGTTGTAAATCTACTGGAACAGAAAACTTCATCTTTCTCCCTGGAGCTGCTGCTGGATTTGAACTGCCAACCTTGTGGTTAGCAGTGCACTGCTTAATCCACTACATAACCATGCTCTTTAGCCATTGAACAACCCCCACTAATTCCTTTAAATCCTGGTGTGGCAATGCGGGTTCAGTTTGATCCGCAAGGTCGACGATTCAAGCTTACCAGCAGCTCTTCAGAACCCCTGTACCAGGTTGTTATGAGTCGGAACCGACTCAGTGGCAATTAACAACAACAACAACACTACTCCTTGCTGAATTAAATTTAACATGTTGCTGATAATTCAATACAACAGCAATGCTTCTCTTCACACATCTGATGTTCATTTTCATTAAACTTCTAAATCGACAATCCCTCTAAAATTAAATCCTTATACTCAGATATTTTCATAAGAATCAAGTCACTTTCATGCTATTTATAACTTGTAATAACAGCATTACTCCTGGAGAATGAAGAGTAATTTCTTTTTTTCTAAATTCCAGTTATAAATGTAACATTGAAGCCAGTCCACTGAGACTGTCTAAAGTTACTAACAATTTCCTGCTTCCAAAAAGCCAGCTTTTCCACCCTTAGTGTGCCATTCAGAAGCAACGGTTCCTAAAATCTCTCCTTCCATCCTTCCCGCCTCTTGTCTTTTTATTTCCGATTCCTTCCTCGTCAGTCCCTTGGGAATCAGGAATGGACTGCTGCGCTATGCCAAGGGTTCTGGACTTGATTCACTGTATGCACAAGGTGAGCCCTATAGAACAGGAAGTTGGGAAGGATCAGATCTGCCTTTAGGAGAGATCACCCTGATGGTAACATGAGAGATTAACTGGAAAGGACTGGAGGCTGTAAGGTTAAGCGCCATTATCAAAGGGACGTAACTAATGAAGGCTTGCTCACACTTCATGCCTGTAAAAATATCGTTTAAACTACCTGGAGCGTTCTATCACCTCTGCACTCTTCAGTCACTGGAAAACTCCTATGTTGTTGTTGCCCTGTGCTGTCGAGTCGGTTCCGACTCATAGCAACCCTGTACGGGGTTTCTGAGGAGCAGCTGGTGGTTTTGAACTGCTGATACTGTGGTTCGCAGTCCAGTGCTGATCCTACAGTGCCACATCAGGAGTCCGGAAAACTCCTATATATTCATTAAAACTCAGCTCAAGGCATATCTCCTCTCTGAAGCTTTCTCTGACAATTCCTTCTCTATCTGCCCACAGCCATTCTAATACAGTTTGTACTCATCTGTCTCTTTCAGATCAGTCACCTTAAAGGAGACATCAGAGTGTAGGACAAAGTGAATCTGTCTAGAAACCCTAGCTTGACCACTTTCTATCTGATGCTCTTAGATGAATCAATGATTTCTTTATATCTCAATTATAATCCCTTTATATCTTTGTTACACATATGATCAGACTCAACTGTAGGTTTCTTAGAGATATAAATAGTATATTATATGCAAAGAGACAATTACAGTGACTAATACACTGGTAGTGTAGTGGTTACGAATAGGGCTGTGAACCTCAAGGTCAGCAGTTTGAAACTACCAGCTGTTCCATGGGAGAAAGATGAGGCTTTCTGCTCCCATAAAGACTTACAGCCTCAGAAACTCTGTACAGGGTTGCTATGAGTCAGAATTGACTCCACAGCACACAACCACCATATTCAATTACAATTTATTTAAGTCACGATTTTCAAGCTGTGTTTCCTAGAGAACTAGTCCCCCATAACCTCCTGGTAGCTTTAAGGACCTCAAAGAAAGAGCTAAGAGAAAGGGGGATGGAGTAAGCAGATAGGTTTCTAGGACCAAACATTATTCACTCCTCTAAAAACTGTTCAACAGAGCAGCACCTTTTTTTAAATTTTCAGGTAGAAGAGAAAGATTTTATTTGAAAAACAGGTTCCCTAGAAGCTAGAATATGTTTGTAAACACAGACTGTTTCTTACACAGGGCACATGGTATAAAAAAGGCTTTCATTAACCAAAACATAACTCAGTTTCCCAAAGGGCAACTCTGCCGTTTGATGAAAGGCTATCTCTGTGTTTCTGCTGAATGTTTACAGTTTAACAAACATGTGACAGTGGAAATGTACAGATGTATAGATACAGAGATACGTGTGTTAGGTGTCGAGCTATAGAGCTAACAAACTTTTAAGGGGATCATAAACATGATTTAGGTGATCAAAATGGCAGAATAAATCACATCTTAAGAAGTAAAAACTTTTGATACATCACCTTAATGGTCACCTCTTTTTCTGCAATCTGAACAGTCACCGAAGCTTGAGAGACACGGTTTTCTGTCATCCTCTCCACTTTTACAACTTCGTTAGGAAGTATAGAACTTCTTGAATCCTGGAGTTCAAAGCGCTGTCAATTAAAGAAAATCATGCAACTTACTTTTCAATATAGTATTAAGGCTGGATAGCTCAAGAAGAAAGAGTCTACCTTATTAAGCATGGTGTGGTGCTGTAGGATAAGCATCAGACCACAAGGTCAGTCTGAACTGCAAAAGTCTTCCTCTTTTTCTCTGACCCTCCACCTTACCAAACATGACATCCTTCTCCAGCGACTGGTCTCTCCTGACAATATGTCCCAAGAGAGACCAAGTTTGGCCATCTTGGTCTCCAAGGAGCACTTTGGCTACACTTCTTCCAAAACGGATCTACTGGTTCTTTTGGCAGCCCATGGCACTTTCAATATTCTCCTCCAACACCATAACTTAAATGTGTCAATTCTTCTACGGTCTTCCTTATTCACTGTCCAGCTTTCACATGTATATCAGGTTACTGAAAATACCATGGCTTGGGTCAGGTGCACCTCACTCCTCAAGCTGACATCTTGCTCTTCAACACGTTAAAAAGGTCTTGTGCAGCAGATTTGCCTAATGCAAAATGTCATTTGATTTCTTGACTGCTGCTTCTGTGAGTGTTGATAGTTGATCCAAGAAGAATGAAGTCCTTGACAACTTCAATCTTTTCTCCATTGATAAAAATGTTCTATTTTGGTCCAGTGGTGAGGATTTTTGTTTTCTTTACATTGAGATGCAACCCAATACCAAAGGCTGTGTTCTTTGATCTTCATCAGTAAATGTTTTAAGCCTTCCAACCTGAGGGGCTCATTTTCTGGCACTATATCTGACAGTGTTTCTCGGCTATTCATAAGGTTTTCAGTGACTAAATATTCAGAAGTAGTTTCTCACTCCTTCTTCCTAGTCTGTCTTCATCTGGAAGCTCATCTGAAACCTGTCCACCATAGGTGGCCCTGCTGGTATTTAAAATACTCCATTCATCTGTCAGTTTGTCGTACTGTGGTGGCTTATGAATTGCTGTGATTCTACAAGCTATGCCACCGGTATTTCTTTAAAAAAGTGATTGGGTAGGACCATGCAAATAAGGTGTGCAGTACTTTAAGGCTGGGATTGGCCAGTTCTGTCATCCCCACTGTCTTAAAAGGAGCCCTATCACATTCAGGAACAGATATCCCCAAGACCATCAAGAAGAAAGGACTTGAGTGGAGCGTGAGATTCCTGTTGAGAAAGTAGTGACATCAGAGTCTACAGCAGAGGCAGTGGCATGAAGAGACAGAGAAGCTGCAGGCTCTAGGCCCATGGATTGTGTAAAGCTGAGTGCCTATGGGTAGGACACTGGCTTGCAGAATATGCCCTTTGGGCATTCACACACTGGCTAAAAGAGCTCTGTAACATTTGCCAGAACAGAGCCAAGGGACCACATTGCTGAGAAGTCAAAGACAAGAGTGAGGCATGCCTGCAGTATGGCAGAGAAGAGAGGTTCCTAATTAGAAAACTGCTGTATCCTGAGTTGGTTTTGATTCTGAATTGTACTTCGTTCACTTCCGTAATAAACTCCATAATCGTGAGTAGTGCTGTGAGTTCTGTGTGGCCATTTCAATGGATTACTGAACCCAGACATGAAGCAGAGAGCACTGTGGGAGGGATGGTTGGTGTCAGAATAGGGTAAAAAAGGTTGTACGGTGGAGGCATGTCTGACCTTTATTTCATAGGAATC